ACTTTTTAAGCATTTGAAAGCTGTTCCAAATTCGGGCCGAGCTGAATCATTTCTTGACTTTTTGGCTTTAGTTTCGGTTACTTTTTTTGGGGTTTTTGCACGGTTTTCTGCTACAGTTATTATTGCGTGTGCATTCACTTGCGAAACGCTTCCAAGTGCTCAAGTTTTCCACAGTCTAACGGTGCTTCGCTGGGCTTTAGCGCTGTTAAAGTTGGGTTTTTAAATTTTTTATTTCATAGTCTCTCTTTCGGCCGAGTTGTAAATTGTCCATATCGCGTTTTGGACCTACCACTGCGCACTGCTGCGCCCATTTACAGAGTTTGTTTATTATTATTGGGCAATAAGCCTATTTGTGTTGACTTTTACCACTCTTAATTACAATATGATGTCATCCGGCTATTATATTTCCACCGTATCGATAAACTATGACCAACATAATCATAGATTGTCATATGTGTTCAGAGTAGGCTCAACGTTGATTGATAAACTACTCTGTAATTGTAAACTTTATGAAATTTGGATTGCTTTTTTAAGTTGAAAATTGAGAGCAAGCTGAAATCGGCTTAACTTAAATTATTTCTGTGCTATTTAATTTATATGTTCAGCTTAGGCCTTGAGATGAAGCTTGATGAAGCTTGAAACATGACTCTTTTTATGGTAATTCATGTATGAGGAGATGATAAGCAGCTTCTTGAAATATTTATTTGTCTTTTCTTTGTCTTCTCTTTGCATTTTTTTCTTTTAACTAGCTGATTTTTATAAGGTTCAAATCTGTTTTTAGCTACATAAAAAACATCATATAGGATACCAAACTTTAGCTCATATAAGAAAACCATTACACACAGATTTTTCGTGTCCAATTTGAGTCATCTAGATATAAAGCAGATCTATCCGACTTTCATTTTCGTGAATGAGTGTCAAAACTGTGTATAGTAAAAATTATTTAAATTAATTTTGTTAATTGATTTAAGCTATACAATATTGAGCTAATAAATGTCAACTGGATTATTATCATTATTTTTTGAATAGTTTTAAATATGATTTCTGTGGCTGCTATTGAACTGACCTTCGTAGAAGTGCGCAAAAATATTTGCCTAAAAGTTCGAATCAACTTTGATTGTTTGCTGAGTTAATGCGTTGCTTGTTATTCATTGTCGAGTACGAAGCAAAATGCCAGCGGGTCGCCTTGAGCCAACCAAAAAATAAATAAATAAAAAAAGAAACAGAGTTTTGGATATGGATTGAAGTGTTCAAGATTGGCAGACGACATATTTATGAGTGTGCCCATAAAAGTTTCCCAGTTTTCGATTTCGGTTTTGTAGCTGGAAGGTGGCAAGGGGGGAAATTATTGCTCAACAAACCTGTTGTCCAATCAGAGTACGAATTCCAATCAGAGTGCGGCTAATCCAATAAAAAGTGAAACTATTTCTAGTTGCGATTTTGTGCTTTAATCCAAGTGCACTTGGCTCTCTGGTATGCGCCTATTTGTATTTCTTTTATTTTTATTTTTATTTTATTTTTTTTCTATTTTAATTTTTTAGGCGCTGGGCTTTAATTTGCGATTTTCACAATTTCACTTGCACAAATACACAAACAGACACAAATATATAGATGCACATGCACTCACACGAAGACAGTCTCGTAAATTTGATTTTCACTTTGAATTTCTTTGAATTTCTCTCGTAACGTATTTTGAAATTCGCGTGCGACTTGAACGGCGAACAAAGCTCATTTGAGCCAGCGCTGGCACAGCAGCAGAGCTCATAGTGGTGCCCAGCTCGTTATGGTGGTGCTCTGCGGCTCTGCGGCTTTGCTCTGTCGGTGGTTCGATCCAACATGTTGCATGCGAATTTCGAAAAAAAAAAAACAACTAAACTCTCAACTGACGCATGTGAATTTTCGGTTTCTTGTTGGGAATTTTGAAATCGTTGTGAACTATTTTTGTTTTTGTTGGTAGTTGAGCTTTGAGTCGTGTCGTGACACGAACATGCACGAATCGTGCTGCAGAAGTTCGATGGCAACTTAATGCTCTATGATTCAGTTGATTGCTCACTTTTGTTTTATTTAAGTAATTAATTTTTAATTTGAATATTTCAATATAGGCATAAAATATATAATTGTGATTTTAATCAAAATGAATAATTAGTTATTTATTTAATATTTATTTTCATTCGCTACACATTTAGCTAAGTGAATCGACTTTTTGTTTCGTATTTCGATTCGGCATCAAATATTTATTTATGAAAAATGTGCAATTCCAATTGGAATTGGATCGCTTCCAGTTGGATTCGCAGTCTGCACATTCCAGAAGTCTCTTATGCCCTATGCTAGCTTATAGTAGCCAACGTCTAATGCTCGTCCATTTTCACTCTAAAGGTGCGCCGTCTGCTCATTCATGCACGCACCACCACACCACCGCACCACACACTCCCATGGCAGTGGCTTGATTCATAGAGTTCAGTTCAAGCGTTTGCTATGTACAGCAGCTCGTCAGGTGCGTGACAACCTTCATTGGCCAACTATGCCGATGGCCACGACGGGGTAAACCCGAGATCCATCCAACCACTCGGCTGACTCAGTGTGACGTCTGCACTGGCGGATATATGTCCGAGATCTGATCTGAACTGATCTTAGCCAAGGGCAAATCTTTAACACATTTTCGCTTCAAGTTTTTGCTGTCAAAACAAATCTTTTATTTTTTTTTTTCTCTCTCATTTGTTTTGAATCAACTTCCGCTTCGCTCGGTTTTCGCACGCTTTTGCCATATTTCAATGACTTTCTTCTTTAATTTCATTAATAAAAGCTGATCGAGCCATCATTAAATTAAGTGCCGTCTGTGTAGCTCCGTCTCACAAAAGATATTACCAAAAGTTATGGCAGAAGCGGGAAAAGTTGAATAAAAGTTGCTTCAACAATAAATGCGTATTTTTGGGTGGGATTTTAATGATCTACCTTTTTTTTTCGTGGGTATATAGACTTGTGCATGACGTTTGTCGAGCTTAAATTGAGTGTATTAAAAAGAGATTTTTACCCTCTGTTTCAGCGACTGAAAAAAACTTTTTTAGAGAATCCATCTCATTGTTTTAAGCTTATAAAATATACGATATGATATAATATAAATTTCTGTAAAATATGACATATAATACTATAAATATAGTCCTATTGTTGTATTTGTTATTTAAATTGTTTATCTTATTGGCATATATGTATATATATGTACATATGTATTTTATCTACCTTGAAGTTACATAGATCTTTTTTATAGATATATATTTTTCATATTATAGAAATTTAACTTATATTACCTTCTCTCTCGCTCCCTCACTCTCTTTTTCCTTCACTCTGCTACTTCCCGCTCTTACTCGTTCTGAACTTTATTGCTCTCATTTCGGCAGTCTTCTGCTCTTACTTTCAATGTCTTCTTCACTCTCTCTCTCTCTCTCTCTTTGTTTCATTCTCTCTCTAAAGTACTTTTACATCGATATTATAGAACAATTTATTTAACATTATTTATCCTTTAGCTTCCCTCTTCCTCTTTCCTTATCTCACTCTCTCTCTCTCTCTCTCACACTACTTTCACTCTCTCCCATTCTACTTCTTCTTCATCATAGCCACACTCATCTATGGATATTGCAGAAATAAGAATTACTTTCTTACACCCCATCTCACTTTCGCTTTGCCTCATAATCTCTCTCTCTCTCTCTCACTCAATGTTCTCCCTCTTTCATTTAGGCCACCTTCCTACAGATAAGCCAACAGGAAACAGCATTTCAGAGCTATGCAAGCCAACAATGCTTTGATCTGCTCTGGTCCATCTCCAGCTCCAGCTACACAGCTTAAAGGCCACGCCTTAAGTGTGCCACGCCCCTGCAGCAGAGCTCACTGCCTGTTTGTCATCTGGCGTGTGTGACGTCTTCGCCAGGCGAGTGAAAGTGAAAGTTCTGTGCGCCGGTTTTAAAAGGCCAACCCGAGCTGTCGACGAGTCGGTCAATATCAAAACGATGCTAACAAGTTTCGTAAGCACCGAAATCATCAATAAAAACATCTGGAATATATTTAAAGGTATGGTAAATAAAAAACATTGGCATTGCATTATTTTGTCCAGTGTTTTATTTTTATAATAAACTAATTTTTATATATATAATATTTATATATATATATTTATTAATGACTTTTAACTAGTTGTTTTTTTTTTGTGTTTGTATATTTCTGTGTTGTCAAAGGATATTTGATTTAAAACTCTTGTAGAACAAACAAGTCTTGAGTTGAGTTTGATAATTTATTAACTTTACATGTGATCTGTGCACTGAAGAAGGAGGAGGAGGGAAGGGAGAGCTGGCAAGCATTTAGATTAAATAAAATTAAGAATAAACAATTCTAAATTCGATTTGAAGACATGTTTGATGAGCTCGAAGGAAAATGCATGCAGCAAACAAGTTTTGCTTGAGTTTGAGTTATTTTTCTTTTTGTTTTGTTAATATCTCGTAACAGTGTTGGGATTTGTATATATAGTATTTATACACATGCATGTATATTTAAAAAGTGGTTGACAAGTGCCTTTTGATTCTGTTTTTTGTTGTCTCTAGTTACACAGTGCATTTCATTTCATCTGTTGTTGTTGTTCTAGTTGTTGTCCGAGTGGAAACCTTAGGCTTAATTTTGAGTTTTTCTGGTTGTTTGAAATCGAAAATTTGTTTGCGTAATTTATATTCTTTTGTTATTTAAATTTGTTAGTTTAGTTTTGCTATTTTTGCTTTCTTTTAATTAAAATTTAAATTACATATGTGATTTGTTATTGGGCGCATACATATATATATATATGCATAAATTACGTATAATATATATATTTATATATATATATATATATTTACATTCATAATTTCTTGTTCGTTCTCTTTGCTCATTTGTTGTAAATATTTGCACAGAAACAAAATACTATATTAGTTTTCTCTTTTTTTTTCAGTGTATTATTATCCATTATGTATGAACACAGTATTTAGCAGATTTATGATTTTTTGTTTGTTTGTTCTCAACTATCTGTTATAAAGATCACTTGTTCTTCTTCTTCTTTTTTTTGCTAAAAATGATTTTAAATGTCTTTTTGTTGTAACTAGCAAAAAAAAAAAAAAAAAAAAAAAAACGTGTTAATTTAAGAAAAGTGAAGAGAAAACATAATCAATTGCTTAAATAAATTCTAACAACACGCTTAAGCTATATATATATCTGCATATAATTATATATATATCTGTATATATATATATATATAAATTGTATTGGATTTTACATATGTTTCGTCTGCTGTATAAATAATAAATAATAAAACATTTACAACTATTTTGCAACGCTACGCACGACCTATCAACTATATCAAATTGTATATATAACTCCGTATATAAATATGTCCTTTTGCTAAAAATTATTTCTTGTTTATATTATTATAGTATTAATTAATGTTATCATTAATAATCAATTAATTATATTTAATATTATAGGTATTAATATTATTTGCATCATACTCTCGTATCGCTCGTATTTTTAGGGTATTAGACTAATTGCATTAAAGTAGTAATAACTGCGGATTATCAACTTGCTAGCGGCGTGTGTGTTGACGTATGTGTGTGTGTGTCTGTGTATGTGTATTAGATAAAGATAATCTGAAGCATATATGCTAGTAATCTATTATCTAATCGTACACACTATATCATAATCATCATGTGTTTCTATGTATTTCATTATGTACAACTATCTGGATGCTGGCTCTGCTTGCGCTTCGCTTTTGGCTCCTTGGGATGCTGCTCGATGGAGGGACGACGCGGATTCCCAAGCGTGACTAAAGCGCTCGCCACGGCCAGCCCGGCCGACTGACCGGCAGGTGCTTGCGGTAGGCCACCTATGGGGTAATGAACAGAATAATTCAGTTGATGAGTTAGAACATGGTTTGATTGACTGATGCATTGATTGATTTACATTGTACGTATTACTATTGTGATACTGACAGATGGTATATATAATCAAAATTCGACAAATTTTAGTTTTCAATATGAAAATTAACAAGAGAGCATGGGCAACAAAAGAGGTAACAACATATCCTACTACATATATATTGCAAATTAACAAATATTATATAAATATCGGCTATGCCTTGCTCTCATCTATACTAGTTACACACCCGTGGGCAGCCGGACTAGAAGCGAGAGCACTGCGGCTCGATTGCCATTGCAGGGCTCCAAGGCAATTGGACTGGGACACTCCTGCAAGAGAGAAGCGTTAAATATGCGCACTCTGGATACTCTAACTACTCGCCCACTCACCTTCTTGCGTTTCTTCGACATGTTGGCAATGCCCTCCAGCGTCAGGCTCAAGTCGATTGTGTCGCGTGGCTCAATGTCAACCAAAACCTTAGGGATAAATAAATTAAATTATGTTTAATTACAGGGTATTTTGGGATGCGTTACCTGTGAGAATGGTCGACTGGCCATTTGCTCCATTTCGACAAAGAGACGCTGGCGCCGGCGAAACATATCGTACTTCTGCTTGATCTTCCACAGCACGGCGGCCATGAGCAGGAGCAGCAGAAAACAGGATGAGAACGTTATGAAAAATTGCTGTAGATTGAGCTTGGGATACTGTGAGAAGGCAATTTGGATCCAGATCGGCGGCTGAAAGTCATGCACAAAGACATAGAACGTCGTTAGCGAACTGTTGTCGTCGCTCGACTGGCCAAATTGATATTCGGTCTTGGGGAAACGATGCCGGAATGTGGAGCAGTTGATGCCAACCAAAATGAGGCGCTCCGGCATGCCGGCCCGCTTCACCGATATATCCATCTTGGCTGGGACGCTGCACGTAATGGTGAAATCGGCATCGATTTCGGGCTTCGCCGGCGAATTGCGGAAATTGATTTGGGTGAAGTGGCGATCCTCCTTCTTGGACAAGTTGAATGTGAACTGATAGTCGATGGTGAGCTCGTAGTAGCAGGAGCCGCGCAACGGGTCGCCTATATAGTGATTCTGCGAGTCGCACTTCTCGCAATGATCCCCCACAATGCCCTTGGTGTTGCAGTAGCACTTGCCCGTGTCCGGGTGACAGTAGTCACCCTGGTTGTTGCACTCGCAGCGCTGGCACTCGCCGCCATTGATCGCGTTGCCCCAGTAGCCAGTGCGGCATTTCTCGCAGTGTGCACCGATCGTCAGATTGCTGCACGGCTGCTCGCAGTGCTCCTGATCATTGCACGATGAGTGACCGTTGCAATTGCAGCGTGGACAGGACGTAAAGAACCAGTGGTTCAATGCGCATTCCGTTTGATCGTACGGTGACAACGCGCCGCCAACCACGCACTTGCCCAGTCCGGTGTTGGAGCCGTTGTCACACCATCCACACGCCGGATCATCCAAGCACTGCTGGCAGCTATTGTAGTAGCCGCACTGGGCACTGGACAGCGCCGTGGTGCTGCCCGCACTCAGCGCCGTTATTGGCGCCGTACGGCACTTGGACGTAAACGTGGTCCACTCGCGGCACTGGCCGTACGGAAAACTGGCCGTATACGCATTGCGGTCGACGCAGCGCTGCTCGTTCTGGCACCAGATGCACTCGTCCTCGGTGCAGTTGTGGCAATTCGTCTGCGACGCGCACGTCGGCCGGCACAGGTTGTCGTCGTGCGTGCTGCGATTGTAGGGCGCGCCCGAGGCGGAGATGTGACTGCGACAGCGATTCTGCTCGGCATCCCATTTGCAGGCCGCATTCGACATGCAGGCGCGGCAGCTGTGCAGCTGCTCGCATATGGATTGCACCAGCTTGTCCTCGCTCGGCGGGCAGCTCTCGAGGCGCTTGGCGTTGAGTGGCGGCGCCGCAGTCACCGCCGGCTGGTGGTGTCCATGCTGGCCGTGCTGCGTCGAGGTTGACGAGTCGACGAAGAAGATCGATGCCACCGACGTGGTCTCGCGGCAGCGCTCCTTGCTGCACACTCCGTTCCCGCAATAGGTGCAGCCAAAGGTGGTCGACACGCACGAGTGGCAGCTGCTCAGCTCCTGGCAGCGCAGCACGTGATGCAGGTGCTCCGAGGTCATGGTTATGCGACTCTTCGACGGGCACGCCACATAATCGTAAATGGCCGAGCGCTGCACCCGCATTATGTTGATGCAGCGCATCAGCTGGACATCCCAAATGCACTTGACGCCCGGTCGGGCGCTCGTACACTTCTCCTCCTTGGTGTAGAAGCTGCACTGGCCGGCATCGTAGCGCAGCATATCGTTCAGCATCTGGCCGTTGAAGCCGCCATAGATATACAGCGCGTCCTCAAACACCACCGAGCTGTGGCCGAAGCGCGCCAGGTCCGCCTGCAGATGGGCGGGCATTGAATGCATATGCCAGGAGTCGCAGTACACGTCGTAGATGAGCAGGTCCTGGCTGTAGCACTTGGCGCCGTAGCTCTGCGAGGTGTCGTTATGCGTGTTGCCGCCAAAGACCATCATCAGGCCCGGATTCACGAAGTTGGCCGTGTGCAGCAGCCGCGCACTGGGCGCCGACGACAGCAGCGTCCAGATGCGCGTCGACGGCTCGTAGGCATACAGGCGCGAGCTCAGCACTTGGCTGGCATCGCTCTCCGACACAATGCCGCCATAGACGTACAGCTTCTCGGTCAGCAAATCGTAGGCGGCGCTATGGCCGTAGCCGCCCTTAACCACATAGCCGGAGGTCTGCAGGATCTTCCATTCGCGCGTGCCAAAGTTAAACTCCTGCACCGTGTTGAGGTAGCCGTACTGAGGCGAATGCCCGAATATCACCACCATATATTGATAGTTGTTCTTGTCCCCATAGCCGGGCACTAGCGTCGCCGTATGGCCCGCCACGTGCAGCGGACCGCACATCGTGTACGAGCTGTTGCACGGCTCCGTCTTCACCGTAATGTTCTCCCACATCTTGGCCGACACATCGAAGGACCAGAGCTCATTCGTAATACCCTGCGATTTGACGACGCCGCCATACATGAATATCTTATCCCCATACATGACCGTGGAGGCGCCATAGCGCTTCTCGGGCACCGCCGTGCCATTCTCCGCATGCATTGTCTCCCACACATTGCCATTGAAATCGTAGGTGCTCATAAGCTCGCCCCGGCCGTACGATTCGCCGCCAATGATGTGCAGCGTGTCGCGCCAAACGGCGGCGCCATGCGAGGCACTGCCCGCCGGTGCCAGCGAATGCTTCGGGTGAACCGTGCTCCAAACGCCGTGCGCTCGCAGCTGACTGCAATCGTCGCCGCCATAGCCATCATTGCATTCACAGCTACGGAATACGAAATATTACAGTTAGTTTTTATCTGTGCGACTATTATCGTAATTCATTTTGCACTTACCGCTCCTGCTCTATCCTGCATATGCCGTGGCCCCGCGCCTCTGAGCAGTTGTTTGGACAGGCGGCCACATTGCAGGCTTCCCCCCTGTACATGGGATCGCACAGGCAGTCGCCGTCATGGCACGTCCCGTGCCCGGAGCACTCCACGTCTGTGGGCATAAGAGTTTTGTAAATTGAAATGCGAAAAGAAATGAGGAAATGGACAGATAAATAGATTTTTAAATGATTTTCATATATAGCATATAGCATAATAAAAAATAATCTTGTATCTAGTATATATATATGTCTTTTATAATGGTGTAGTAGTATAGTACAGCATATAATGTAGATAAGTATAATCCGTCATAGTATAGCAATAAGGAGTAACTGATAGCCTAGTTTACCAGAGTATAATATAGGGGAACATACTACTTTAAAGCCTGGTATAGTATAATATAGTGTACTATTATAGCATGGTATAGTAGAGTATATTATGAAATTTGATAGCTAGTACAGTATTATGTTTATCAGTAAATTATGTGGCTTAGCATTTAGTACTCAATTTATTATTATGACTATTGATATTTACTAATACTTTTATGAGCACATCAGTATTTGTATTGCATACACGTACTATAATATATTATCATATCCTACAGTTCTATTTACTTCATGGTCATTTCCTACAATAGCACTTACTCATTTCTGACTATTTCTACCAATGTTTATTTCTAGTTAATTTTAATTTTAAGCGTCTTATCTTTAGCATTACGTGATAAACTCTATCAAGTTCGATGCAGAATGTATTCGGTGTCAGTATCATAAAAGACGATTAGGGAACTACACGGTAATTACTTGATCATTTATAAAATGGGAAAATACCAATGATTATTAAAAAACAAAAGAAAAATTAAATAACAATCTAATTATATTGATTTTCTAAAATTATAAATTAAATATAATTCAAAATACAAGTACAATAATTTTAGTTTGTTCTTAATTCTCTAAAAACTATTAATCTAATCATTATTAGCTCCATGTAGACCTTACGTAATATAAACAAAACTTGCATCTCCGAAGGTTCTGTGATTTCATTGGGAATTCTCTAAATTTCTTTCGACCCGCAATACCTTTCAGTCAGACTTACCATCGTTATCCGTTGGACAGCCGTTCACTTTGTATGTCAGATAGAAGCCGGACATATTGTATGCATCATCGCTGAAGAAGTGAAGTAGAGCTGTGCCCGATCGCGCGATGACTTGCGGCACTCGGCGTATGGAAAAGTTGCCCCGATACATGAGGCCACTGGAGAGAAGAGAGTGAGAGATTAGTCAGACTCTACAGTTTTGCTAAGCGATTTGGTGGACTCACCTGAAGACCGCAAGTAGGGGCGAATCGACGCTATCACCATCGTATATATACAAATGATCCCAGCCGCATTCCGTGGCGAACTCGCGGAGATTTATGCGTATATTAGAGGGACGCGACGGATTCGGGTTGTGGCGTCGACCCCAATGCGGATGATGTGCATCAATTAGCCAGCTGCACTTGACGCTCACCGAATAGTTGCCCCAGCCATCGTGTATGGTCCCCATGGAATGGTACATGCTGTAAAATAATTGCAAATACAAACATGAGCGAGTGTTTGAGGTAAGTAAGAGAAAATTTAGACTCTGCAACTCTCGAAGCATCTAAGCGTAATAGTTACTCTATAAGACTTACGAGAATTCAAATCTAGAGTTTCAAATATTTTACAGTTCTTGGGTAATGATTGACTGGATTTCTAAAGTTGACTCTGTAATCAGTTATTATAAATATATATATATTTTTATACCGACCGAAATTGATGCTCTGTAAAAAGGCTTCACTTATATAAAGTTTTTATATTTTATATCTCTGTAAGTTATACTAAAGTCCACATTCAAATTTTAAATTAATCTCACTCTTACGCTTATAGTTCTCCCGATATAATTGTGTAGAACTCTTGAACTAGATATATGTTCAAGGTATTATTCTCCGTCTATGCTTACATTTTTTGTACCGACAAACAAAGTAGTAAGTCTGTAAGTCTTAAAGCTCTTGAATTATACCGAAGTCGATGAAAGGAGTAGTAGATACTAGGTAAACAAATACTCTGTATACTTCACTTATCTTTATTATCGTCAGACCTTCGAGTATAAGATATCTTTCTCCTGTATATCGATATCAGAAATAACTTCTAGCTAATCAAATATCAATCTCTTTGGAGAAGCCACAAACCAAGTTAGTTTTTTAACGATCTAACTTATAATTGAGTATTGTTTATTTCCTAACTGGATGAAACTATAACTTTAAAATAAAAATATCGCAAAATCGATATATATCGCGGACTAAGCATAAGCCTAAATATATATTCGATTGCTTAGGCTCGATTTCCATATATTGTCTACGAATCAATAGGCTCGCTATGTATCAACATACTTTCAAAGAGGCATTAAAATGCGCTGAAATAAATCGAATTTGGATGGCACTCGACTGTCGATTCGAGGCTCACAATTACATATGTAAATTGTGGCCAGATGACGTGAGCTCGATCTGTGATTCCCTGTCGCCCTCACTCTCTCTCTCTCTCTCTCTCTCTCTCATCTTGTGTCGACCGACTCGTCTCTTGACTCTTTCAAGATAATTGAATTTGCGAGGCAACGCAAATGCAAGCTTCATTCAATTGATGCACACAATGAGAGACTGTGTGGCAAGTGGCATGTGGCATGAGAAGCGAGCCAGAAGCACCGCAACTGCCGCAACGCTCTTTGTTATTGTTATTATAGTAAAACCGTCCAGCTGTTCAACTGTCTAGCTGTCCAGCTGTCCGGCTGTCTGTCTACGCGTCCATCATATCCGTTTAAAAATAACTGCTTTCTTTTCATTTGCCAACAGAGAGACACAAGATGTGCTTATTACATTGCCGTTGTGCATTTTCTCAACTTGAAAACAATTAACTGAGCCAAGTAAAATGTATATATAGTATATATAGCTGATGTCTTGATAGTAAGCCTCCTGCCTCTATCATAGCCCGTCTGTTTACTTTACAAGTGTTTTCTAAACTTTAAACATTCAGACCCAAAAGATTGCAATAATCAAGACACAGTTTAGAAACAGCAGAAAGTCAGTCAAAAATTATACATTTATAAATATATATTTATACATACAGATCTATATGTATGTAATAATGGCCAAGTCAGGCTTAAGCAGCGCATAGAATGTTTTATTAGAATTGTTAATGCGCATTTCCATGGACACTCACGTCATGCTCGAACGTTTTTAATATGAACTTCAACAATATAAACAAACAAAACGCTGCAATCGGGCATGACTGACTGCGGAATACTCGTTAAGTTAACTCAAATAGAAATATTATTTAAAATTAGTATTAATTGTGATGCAATGCTAATCCCAAAAACATGCGGACTTAGATGCGTTTCCGATTTGCCATGCTTTCAATAACCGTAAAAGCTATACGTAGTACGCTTTTCGGAGCTAATATTTGTATTTTTATATGTTCTACCCAGCTATAAGTTCTAATCCAGCTTCTATAGCACCATAAATAATAGAGCTAGAGGATGTTTGTATGTGATAATTCGTAGTACTTTATCAGAAGGGGTTACACACGACTATACATATGTATATACCCTATACATATGGAATATGTATGCAATTTATACTAATGATTTGAAGTGCTTAAAGGTTGCGAATTGATTTTCTTTCAAATGCAGAGGCAACTTTATAGATAAGCACTGTAAAAAACCAATATACTCTCTTCACTTCATGGATGAGTGTAATAAATCAGTTTTGGTTAGTACTTATTATTACCTTTACTGTCAACGGTGAAAGTGTTGCTGTAAATTTACATATTTTTAATTATATTTTATTTTATTATCGTATATAAAGAGAAGCATTGAACTTTTTGAAAAGTCGTGCCTTAATATACGTAAATTAATCAGTTCTAATTTTGTTTTGTCTCAATTTGTTTCAATATTATGCACATGGCTTTATCGATAAATATCGTTTTGTATTTCTATATTAGCGATCGTGCTTCTATGTATATATTTTCCAAAAGTCGATCTCTCTCTTGGAAAATATTTGCACATTAAAATAAATGAAACCTATCTTTATATCAGTCTTGCTTGGTAGCGACTATAAAAGTATTCTCTATATTTTTATTATACAGTTATTAGTCGGACAACTATATGGTAATGCTATATTATGATATGATATGGTGTTCTAGTCCGCTCGCTTTCACGTTTTATCTAGCTAACTGCCATAAAAGCCAACAGCTGTATCAGGTTTCAGCTACAAAATTAACGAACGAAAAACCAGAGCAAAGTGCATAATGAGTAAAATAAATAGATGCTCTAACTAGCTTTCTCATTGTATGTGGTTGTAATTCACAACTAATTAAAGTCCAAGTTTTTTTTGCAATAGAAACAATTAAGAAAGCTCTAGGACTGGGTGTGGCTCACTAGGGGATACCCGGAATACCACAACCGATCTATGGGCACGTAAGATTGGAATACCTATAATATTTGAGCCTAAGACATATCGACATAGTCGAATTCTTGTTTTGGTCAGACTATAAACTAGATTAGAAGTATCAAATATGATAAGAAATTTAAGAACTGATTGTTCAATATGTAGATCGAAGGTGAATGCATAATTAACTAGATTAACCCATTTCTTGAGAATACTATATTTGCTTTATAAATTTTCTATAAGAAGTTTAGATTAAACTGTATGAAGGATAACCAACAGCCGCTATTGAAGAATTTAAAAGAAACTTTCTTAATATGGATTATAGATCATAATTTCCAAGTTTAGATTTAGCAAGCTGCATATGGCAAACAGCTCGAAGAAGAGAACATGCCTAAATGTAGAAGAAGAATTGTCTGCCTGAATACTAAACAAATACGAGCTTATATAGCACAGAATAAAATGGAGAGAAGAGGAGTAAGAGAGGGAGAGGGATAGATAGAGAGACAGGTGCGCTGACGCGCTGATGGGGCAAAACGCAAACGTGACTACGTAATGCTCTACTTTTACAACTTAATACGTGCACACATACAAATCTATAGCTAATCTGTAATCGCTGCTTTACATAAGCATATGCCAAGTCTGTAGATGCTTCTGTGCATTTTGTAGACATGACACACTTTAATACCCTATATATAAGAATACCTATATACTAACAAAGCTAGCTGTTGTGTACTTAACACGGCTGTCAAGATACAGCGCCCTTATCGAGCGCACTCTGTGCAAATACCCGTTATTATGAAACATAAACAAACTGTCTTATGAGCTTTATGAACTTTTTTCTTCTCTGATTAGAATAAAAGTTGATTTGTGCTTGAGTGAACTCGCAGTCGCTGCTGAAGAAGGCGAAGAAGAAGAAGTAATGGACGAAGACAGGCTCAAAGCCAAGAGTCAGGTAATTAAGGCATGCACTCTGATTGGAAATGGTAGAGGAAGACGTCAGGCGTGCGCAAGACAGAGACAGCGAGACAGTGGGAAAGAATGAGCGCGTCAGAAATGGGCGTAAGCGCGTAGAAAGCACACAGTTTAACGTAAAGAATGAAATGAGAAAGGCGAAGCAAACAACAACAACTGAGAGTAATAAGTGCGAATACGACACTAGCAAATACCCTGTATATTGATTGTGCTTGTTGAATGTTTCGTTTTCAAATGAAATGGTAGTTTTTCTATAAAATATATATAGGGCTTTCTAATTTTATATAGCCCCTATAGTCAGCCAGGTGCACCAATATGCATATTTATCAAGTCCAACAGCCTCGCCAACTGCTTATAGCATAGCAAACCACTCCTTCATACGTCAGCGAGCAGGGTATGTGAGAGAAAAGAAAAAGAGAGCTGGAGACAACAAAGTGGAACCCGTCTAACGAGAATGGGCAACAGCTCAAAAAACTAAACCGTTGGTTGACACAAATCGGTCGCAAACAAAAAAAAAAAAAAAAAAAAAAAACAAAAAATAAATAAATATAGAGTGCAAAAGCTGATTGAATAATACATTTTAACGTTCATTTTGTCTAATGCTGTTGTTGTTGTCGCAGTGAATCATGCGGCGACAACGATAACTGCACCAAACTAAAAGAGTGAGCGAGATGAGGAGGGAGAGGGAGAGAGAGAGAGAGAGAGAGATCGGGGTTGTGGGAGAGAGAATGCTTCAATACTAACCGTACTTTGCCGCCACAGAACTGGCAGGCAGGACCCTGCCAGCCATCGGCACAGATGCACTGTCCATCGAGGCACTGACCATCGTTCTGGCAAGGATTCGTGGTGCAGTTGTACGCGCTGGCGCTATGTAAGCCACTGAAGCAGCCATGGAACAGCAGTAGCGAGAGCAGCAGCAAACATTTTCGCCTATATTTCGCGTTAAATGTGGGCGTGTGTGTGCTGTCGCAGACTGGGCTCTGATGATGGTGCAGATGTTGTTGTGAATGTTGTTGTTGTTGTTCTTCTTCGTGTTGTTGTTGTTGCTGTTGCGTGTTTATATCGTAGACTCTGGTGCTGTTTTTGTTGAGTGTGGAGCAAAATGTTGTGGAAGACGAACGCTGTTTGGTTTGTTGCTTTGTTAGTATGTTGGCGGATGAGAGCTTATGCTTATTTTCCGCATGCTCCACCAAGCACATTTTTCACTTTTGCTGTTTAGCTTTTTTTTTGCTTTTGCAATTTGTATTGAATTTTCACACACACGAATGCGACTTTTTTGATTTTCGCAGCGCTCGCATTGTGAACTGCACAAGTTCTTGCACAATTGCAAATATAATGCCAAAACGAATCACCAAATGCGCAGCACTTATCAAACACCAAAAAGGAACACACAAAATTGCACAACCTGATGGGCAAATATGTAAAGGAAAACAGTTGTATTAACTACTCTGAGCAAAAACAATATGTACTAGTCGATAGTGCTGTAAGAGTTATCGACGACTCAATGTGGCGGCTAGTCGATACCAGCTGTTCTCACAAATGTGCGTCACTTACAACACTTGAAATTCCGATACGCACAATCGGTAAATTTAAAAAAATAAATAACTGCTGGTTAATTTAATGAATTTACTAGCAAATTGTTCAACAATGCTTTGACAATTTTTCTTTTTGAGAGTTTAAATAGTAAACAGTTTTATTAAGTTAATATGTATTACAAGCACTTACAATCCACAATTATCGATTGCATCTATGCAGCCCTCGATTTCAGTTTGAATGAATGCTTATGACTCACATCAATATTTTGTACCAGAATGCTACTAAAATTCACAAGCAGTTCAATATTTTATACAAATGTAAATTTATTGGACTTTAACGTAAAATGTAATATTTTTTTTGAATTGGATGCCATGTAAGTAACTCACTGCACCTACAAGCGAACCAATCGATGTAAGAGCCGGTTCGTACACATTTCGTTCGGTTAGTGCAGCCCTCGCGTGCGTTAGAAACGCAGGCGAAAAGTTCAACCCGTTAGACCTGCATTGCTCTTGTGTTAAATTAATGTAATTTTCTGACTGAAAGAAGCATTTATTTTAAAAGAATACGAGAAAATGCGATGCTGTGAGATGAAATCAAAATAAAATGGTTAGTGACCGCCCATTCTAACGGACTATTTAGAGTGAGGTAGAAAATCAATACGCTCGAAATGAACAAACACCGCAATGAGCGTACACAAAAGCGCGTAAATTCCGTTAGTTTGACAGTTACAGTTGCGGTTTCAGTGATAAGAATTTGAGGATGAATGGCGCATGCGCGCTCTTCTTCGCTCAGCTCAGCGTCGAGCTGGCTTTCCCACTATATTCCTGCAGAGCTCGTGCGTTCGGGCAGTCGATGTTCTGAACTCGAGGTGCACGGTGCCTGCTGTTAATTGCTAACGGTTATTCGCGTCTGTGCCGCTGCATGTGCGTGCCAGTGAGTGAGTGTGTGCGTGCGTGTGTGTGTGTGCGAGCGAATGACTGAGTAAGTGAGTGTGTGTGCGTGCGTGCCAGTGTGTAAAAAAAACGAGAAAAACACAGCCATTTATAGAACATTAGCTTTAACGATTGCCAAAAACACAAAAACTGAAGTGCTGCAAAACGATAATTAGATTTGCAATAAAGAAAGTAAGAAGAAGAAGAATCACAGCATCCGCGCTCGCAGTCGTCGCTGCCGTCGCCGTCGCCCTCGCAGGTGAGTTGTGGAATTTTTGTTACAATGCAGCTTTGTGGATTTTGGGTGGTGGATTTGCCCGCTGGCACAGACAGACAGAAACAGAGCCGAATGTCTATACATGCGAGGCGGGTGTGTTGCTGCTGTTGCTGTGCTTGTTGTTGTTGTCGTCGCTGCTGTTGATTACGTTGACTACTTAACGTATTTTGTTCACTGTACTCGATTTCATTCTCAATTATCATAGTTTTGTTGCAATAGAAATTGTAGGCACTTTTTTTCGATTAATCCGCGCAATCGATTGGCATTGGATTTCATATGCGTTATTGAATACACGAACCTCAAGGGGGCGTCCCACACACGACAACAACAAAAGCAACAACAGCAAAAATGGCTGTAATTTTAATGTGTGCCGTTAGCTCGCATTTTTGGTTGCAAAAAAAAGAAAACACACACACACACACTAACACTAAGGCATCATTTAGCGTGCAGTTAGTGGGAGCTGCCAACTGCTAATTTGCATATGTGTGTGCGCACACACACACACAGGCACACGCACGTTGCGTCCGGCAATTTCTCATTTTGCATAATTTCAATGACGGCGCTGCTGGCGCTGCTGCAGTCGCCGATAGCGCCAGCGCCAGCGTTTACGTCTACGTCTACGTCAACGCCAACGCATGGCCGCCATTGGTTGCTCTTGATCCGCTTTTTTTTCCGCGTTCTCTTTGAGAAATTATTTTTAAATTTGTTGCGTTGTTCTTTCTGTTGTTGTTGGCGGCTCTGAAGGCCGTTACATTTGTTTTATTTATTTTCTATGTTGCTTGCGCCGCTGCTGTTATTGTTGTTGCTGTTGTCTTTGTTTATTTATTCTTCTTTTTTTTTTGTGTTTTTTTGCATTATATAATTTCAGTTGCGTTGCGAGGCGACGCGTCGCTGTTTGGCGGTTTCTGCGGCAAGTTCAAGTGCAATTTGTATATGTGTTCAAGTGTCCGTGTGTGTGTGTGGGCGAGGCGAGGCGGCGCTTTTGACGCCCTCTTGCGGTTGGAGGCAAATGTTTTGCCAATAGTTTTGCCAATGGCAATAAGCGATTGTTGTTGTTGGATATTTTGGTTATTTTTGCATAGCTTGGCCAACAACAACACCCACATTGGACAGAAAAGTTGCTTATGTTAATGTAAAGAGGTTGTTGCGCGACTATATAATTCCCTTGGCATATCTCGGCATATTGTGAATTGTTGTTAGATTTTAGATAGGGCATTGCTTAGTCGCTTAAGATTTACTTAATTAATTTGTTAATCATATAGTAGAGAATTAGAAAACATAATTTTTTTCTTATCTTCCAAATACAGTTTTTTCTGTGAATATAAAAACTGGTAATTCTTAATCGTGACTTAACTACTTTTTATTGGTCATTAAACATAAATTTCAATAATATATGTATGTGTTCGAAAATCCAATTTATAAATAAAAAAGCAATATATAAATAATTTGTAATTTGCAAATTTGGAGTAGAGTATTACACAGTCGGTTGTGGCCTATTTTGTTAAATTTATATTTGATATAACTCCTTAATTTCAGGTTTTGCAGAATATGCTATAGTCAGTCACACCCCACATATACAAATGTGAAGAATTTTTCACTTCTATTTTGACTTTGATAATCTGCTATAAATTTCAGATAGTTGTCGACTCTCATGCAGCTATTAGACGTAATAGAGTACAGGGTATTACTGGGCGTATGCACGCAACAACAACAAACTCCAATTACGTTCATTCGTGTGTGTGTTGTTAGCGCCGCTGAGGCGCACAATTTTCCAACTTGCGGCATTGGAACATGAAACGGGGGTTGAGTTTTGGTTTTGGTTAAAGTAGAAACAAATTATACGATGCCGCCCTCGCCCCTCATACAGCTTCGGCTGTTTCACAAAAAAAACCCCGCTCAAAGTCAATAAACAAGAGCCAGCAGCAGCAACAACAACAACAACAACAATAGCAACAACACTCTGTCAGCTTTTATATTTCCCAGTAGAACGTATTTAACCTACCCGACAAACAGACACAGAGCTGAAAGCCTCCATCTCCGCAGCGAACAGCCCAGCCCCAGCAGGAACAAAGGACGTTCTCCTCTCGCTTCCGCTCGCATTCTTCTCCTTATTTGCCAGAGTTGTTTTGCTTTGCTGTCATTTATTTCGTCATTTATGCAAAACTTTATTGCTTTCTCTTGTCTTGAGGGCAGTTGTTGTTGTTGTTGTTGCTGTTGTTATTGTTGTTGTAATTTTATATATTTTCTTTCTTTTTGTTTTATTTAACTTTTTTTTTGGCAGCTGAGCCATTTGGCCATTGGCCAGTTGCAGCTTCAAGTGCGACAACTGAAATGCATTTGTTTTCTGCTTTCTTTGAAGCAGGGAAAGTTTTCTTGGAACCACTGCCTAGACTTTGACCCCTTTGTAGCGCCCTCTGTTGCACGTTTGCTGCACTATAGCTGCTGCATTCCACAATTTCTCCATGCTTTCGATTCGCATAACTTTAAAGCAGAGTCGCTCGCTTTGGTGAGTTTTCATTTGGAAATGTTTTTCGTATTGTTCATTGGCGTGTGGCTAATGAAAGGTCAGAAAGGAACAACTTCAGACTAACAACATGAAACAAGAACTAACTGTAAACGTACCTCAAGCGTATTACAAATTAGCACTTGCGGCCGTTCTTAGACCGACTCGGCTGCGCTTTGAACTCCTTTGAGTCGACAGAAGCAACAACAATCAGAGTAAAAGTTAAGATAATTACGCACAAAGGCGCAACTTGAGACCAAAAGCGAGGCGAGAAAGAAAGAGAGCGCTCGGGCAGGCAGTGGGAGCGTGGACTGAAGTGTGAGCGAGACAGCGCAAGAGTTAGATTCTTGTCGAGGTGCCTGGCATCTAGGAATTCTGTGGTCGCATGCAATCAACAACAAAAGCAACGCACACGAAATGCTCTGCAAAAATGTTTGTTGTTGTTGCTGTTGTTGTTGTTGCCTGTGCCTTTGCCTCATGTTTTGTTATGCATGGCTGCATTTTCATTACGCAGCGTTGAACTAGTTTAGAGCAGCTCAAGGACACGGCTCGACATGCCTCGCTTGACATGTTGTCATCAAACACAACAACAACAACGGTGATAGCAATAAGTACTACATTAATCAAAAATCTAGACACGTTATGAAAAGTCATAAAACTTATAAGATTTTCCGACGAGATAGTCTAGCTTCATGCGTTTCATGTATAAAATAGAAAGTATAAAGTTCAAGCAATCATATTTCTGTATACATATGTATTTATATAGCCATATAACAACTTGTTTTTAGGTAGAATCAATAGAATTTGTTTTATATAAAAGTATGATTTATGAATTGAATAAATTGTACTCGGAGCTTGTATCTGACTATTACCACTATCACACCATTATGATTATTACTCTCATTATCTTTATTATCGTTATCATAAGTACTATCATCATTATCAACATTTGTTTACTCTGAACCCATTAAATGTGGGAATTTAGCATATATTATAGAACATACATATATATGTATATAGCTATTTATATTTGTTTGTCCGCATGAATGCAGCAATCTGGTAAGCCAAAGAAGCTACATTTATATTTATAATTTGAAATTCATATATTTCTATTTATCAAACGTCGTATATTTTTGTTTTTCGATAAATTCTATTATTTCCTTGTTATCAATCAATTGATTTCGTCTTATACCACCAAAGCTAACGATTTTAATTTTACTATAGACACATCTG